CAATTGCTTTTCACACCTTAATTAGTTTTTTCTTAAAAAAAATAATTTTAATTCGTATTTGCAAAAAATAATTTTAATTCGTATTTTTTTCACAATGCCAAGTCGAATTGGGTGACTTGTGTTAGTTCAGTCTGAACATTGTGTACATCATCTTCATCATTGTCCTCAAAGTTAATGTCATCTGAAATTTTTAATCTTGAGCAATTGCAAAGGTTTTCCAGTAAAATGCACGTAAAATTTATTTTGTAGTATATTGTTAGGGTAAGCATATGTTAGGAACACTGAAGTGCTCTACCTCTCTTGTGATCTTTAATAATTTTTGAGATGACCAAAAGATTGCTCCACATCACAATCTACCTGAAGCTGAACTTAATTGAAACATATTTTCTTTGGTGTAGTTGGCTGATTAAATGGTGTAATCATGATTGTTAACAAACGTGCATAGGATTATATTCCAGTGTCTTTTTTAATGCAGAGTTAGAAAAAATAAAATTCTTTATCCAGGAATCTTTTTGACATCTTTGAAAAATGAAAAAAATTTTAAAGTAGTCTCTAAATTTTTTAAACTTCATTTGTAACAGTCTATTAATAACAAGCATATTTATTTGTAACAGTCTATTAATTATTATATATTAATAACAAGCATATTTAACAATAAAATATCAAAAGGTTATTCCTTTTTGTTGCTATTTTTTTTTTAATTGACTAATAGTTTTTATATTACTATAATTTGTAATAATATAACATCTTAATTATTAAGATGTTATTAAGTTAATAAGATGTTAAATTCCTATGTTGCATTTATATTTGTGTTAACACCTTATGTTTATTGCTAACTTTATTATAATATATACAATTTATATACATAAATTGTATATAATATATTATAATAAGATTCTATATCGATCTGACAATTTAGCTATATATGAATCATAATAATATTATACCATTTTTAATATTTAGTTATTTTAACGTTTACGCCAAAATTAAGGCCGCTCATAGCTAATAGCATAACTTTTCTTGCTTAAATTGAGCTGAGCAAGTTTTTTAAAAGTTTGGTGAATACCATTTTAGCTTGGTGAATACCGATTTTTTTAGCGCTAAACTTACAAAAAACGTAAGTTTTGTTAAACGCAATTGCGCAAGTTTCGTGAATACGAATTTCACCATTTTGAACTTACGTCAAACTTATGCAAAAAAAAGTTTGGTAAATACGCTTCCTGGTTTTTATCTTTGTTTTCAAAACGTTGCACTAAAAGAATTTATTATTAATAATTTAAGTTATTATTTTATCAACAATTTTATATTATTAATTTTACTACTTTAAGTTTATTAAAGTATATATTAAATTTGTTTAAGATATCTTTTAATATATATTATATATAACACCCTACATCCCCGTCCCTGTTCCAGATGGCCCTGATAGTTACTCAAATATTAACTTATCAACTATATTAATTTACTTAATATACACAAAGGCTCGCAAAAGTTAGCCATACAATTGTTTCTATTTATATCTTAAATGTTGTTAACACGTAATATAAGCTTCTAACTAAATATTATTATAACAAGAAATGTCAAATAAAATATGAAAAATTTGATACCATTATTTTATATTTAAATTTTATTTAAAGCGATATCAAGATTAAACATTTTTTATAAATACACAAGTTGTTTTTAGAAATTTTTTCAAAAAGAAAGCTATTTGCACAAAAGAATTCTAAAAAAAGTCTTTTAAAATTCTCTCAATATGATATTTTTGAGTTTAAAAATTGATATTTAAAAAAAAAGGCTAAATTTTAAAAATAATAACATTTAATAATTATAAATTTTGAATAAGCATTTTAAATAGTAAATTTTTTCCCCGATGCTTTTTTCCCGCAAGATTTGATACTTTTCTGCGAGCATCAAATCTTGCATTCATTTTTTGAGTTGCCTCCTGATGATAGATTTTCTTCAAATTTTTCATACATACTCTTGCTTGATAACAATACAATATTCATTATTTAATTTTGCAACAAGTCAATTAACTTAGTTATTTTTAATTAAGTTTATTTTTTATATGGAAAGAAGAAAAATAAATTTCAAATTAAATATATTAGTTTTCTACTTATACGGGCAATTAACTTATTTGGATAAGGCATTGACTTTGTAAACGGAATGTTTGTGGTTCGAGGCCCACCTCTTCCTGAATTATTTTGTTTTTTACAACGCATACAGCCGAATATTAATAAAATAAAATATTAATATCTAAAAAAATTGATTGCAAAATTAGTGTTTAAATAACATAAAGCATTGGGTTTTAAAAATTTGTTTTTAATTTTATTTGTTTAATTTCTTGATATAGTTTTTAAAGTAGAAAACATACTATTCCAAAAATTAAACCAGTGATAATTGCAAATGTTGAACCAAAAATTAATTATTATAAAAAATTTGAATGAAAAAAATAAATTATTTTAATTCTGTTCAAGGAAGTTTTTTTCCAACAAAATAATTTTAGCCTATACTTAAACTTAACGAAAAAGATAAATAAAAAATGAATCGATTCATTAAACCAAATTTTTGCTCACTTTTTATTACAAAACAATTAAAACGAAAAAAATTTAATAAAAACATCAACTTAAAAACCATTTGAATGAAAAAACTATTTATATTTAAATTTTTAATAGTACATCTATTATGCATAGATTTTTAATAGTAAGGGGCCATCCATAAAGGATGTCACCATTTTTTGACCCCTCCCCCCCTCCTTTGTCACCGGTTGTCCTTTTTTTCTATACCCCCTGGAAAAGGAAGTCATAAAATCCTGATCCCCCTCCCTATTTTTAACTCAAAAAAATTTATTTCATCTTGCAATGATGTTTGAATCTGCTGCTACACCTTTTAAAAATAAAATTAAAAATATTTTCATAGATTATCATCTCAAAAACGCATGTTTACGTAGTTTTCCATGTTAATTAAACTAAAATAAAAATTTAAGTCCTTTTTAACTCGACCCCCTCCCCCCTCTTTGGATGGCGTTCTTTATGGATGGCCCCTAATAGCAATAAATTATAAAAAATGTGGTATCTAATGTTTTTTTGGTTTGACCTTAGTCGTTTGGTCTACGCATGCTTATGCATTTTTTTAAAATTAAACATTTCTAATTATTTATTTTGTTTTTTAATATGTGTTTAATGCGTTATATGCTGTTAATGTTATAAAAACTTAACTTTATAACCCAGCAACACAAACAGCGTCATGAAGTTGTTTTATATTATCACAAACTCTTTATATTGTCAAAACTTTGCAGTTTGTTTTATTGTTGTGTTATTGTTGTTTTATAGCTTTTTACAAAAACAATTCAATACTCTTTAAAAATAACACGTATTTTAGTTTTTTTTTCGCAATTAGATTTTTTTGCGTTAGTTGGAGCCTTGATATATATATATATATATATATATATATATATATATATATATATATATATATATATATATATATATATATATATATATATATATATATATGTATATATATATATATATATATATATATATATATATATATATATATATATATATGTATGTATATATATATATGTATATATATACATATATATATATATATATATATATATATATATATATATAGGCTTGGTCGGGAAGCGGGTGCGATCGCACTCGAAAACTGACCATGGAAATAATATTTAGTTGCGAAAAATCGGCCATATTTTTTAGTTATTTTGAGAACATTTAAATTTATGTAGGTTTCCTTGTTTGTCCGCAAAATAATAAGTTCATTTTATCGTAAATTTCAAAATATTTTGTTTTACGGACACACATGGAAACATACATAAACTTGAATGTTCTCAAACATCTTAGTGCGGGAAAATAAAAAAAGAATATTCGCGAACACAAAAAACCCGCCAAATCTACGGACAACAAATTCAATTGGTTCAAAAAATTCTAACCGAATGTCCTGAGTATTCTGTTGAAATATTTTTAAAAATTGTATTTTTTGAATTTTGTTCCACTAATCCATTTTCTTCAGTGTACCAGATAACTGATTCTTTCTCCCAAGAAAGAAAAGTTATTAAGTTCTTAGAAATTGGTTTACTAACTTCAATTATTTTTGCTTCAGCCATTCTTACAAACTTGTTATACTTAAAGTTACTTTTTCTGTTTTAAATACTAATTAAAATTATAAAGCCCACTCACTAAACATCACCAGCGTTATTTGAAGCAGTTCCGCTTCCTCCTCACAAAGTAATTTAACGTTATTTGTTAATTTCTATCTAGCTAATTGAATTTCTACAGTAACTCAATGATATAATTATTTCATTTGTTTATCTTACTAAGAAGAATTGTTTTAAATGTGTCGAACTTTTTAAACTATGCGGAGCATAAAATAGTTATTGAAAAAACATTTTTATATATAAATAAATCATCTGGTTGAATCTTGTTGGACTTTTCAGGGCCGGAGGCTGCATTAATTTGGCGACTTTTTTTATGTGCCACAGCGTAAAAATGACTAAAAAAAAATACCGAATGGTCCTCTTGACTATTTCCCCTAACATTGTGAGTCCCGGGGCTATAGCCCTACTACCCCCACCACACCTCCTCAATCCAGCACTGGAAATAGACATAAGAATATAAATAAAAATTATATACACTCTTTGATAAATCGATGAACATTTTTATCTTTATAGTTGTTACTTTATATAAAAAATGTCGCTTAATTTTATAAAAAAAGTTAAAAAAGAGCGACGTTTCAAAAATAATTGCTCTAATAAATTTATTTTGCTTAAAGTTTTTTTGCGTTAAAAGCTATTTTTCTTTTTTTAACTGTCTCTCATCGGTCCAGTTAATCTTAATGCGCTTTTTTGTTTGTTTTTGAAATGTTCTCAAAACGACTAAAAAATCTGGCCAGTTTTTCGCAACTGAATAATATTTCCGTGGTCAATTATCAAGTGCGATTGCACCCGGTTCCCGACCAAGCCTATATATATATATATATATATATATATATATATATATTTATATATATGTATATGTAATTTTGCTTGCATATATCTTTAGAAGAGTTCTCTATGAATTAAAGTAAATTAAAATAAGTTAAGTTAAAACAGAGCTATATTTATATATTTTTATAAATAAACTTTATATTTTAAATAATAATAAAAAATATGTAGTTTTGTTTATAACATATATATATATATATATATATATAATATATATATATATATATATATATATATATATATATATATATATATATATATATATATATATATATATATATATATATATATATATATATATTAGACCCCTGCAAATTAAAAATTTAAACATCGAATCTTGAATCTATCCACATATATATTGTTTCAATCTTGAATCTTATAAAAGTAAGATTATGACTGTAAATTTTAAATAGTTCGATTGCTAAAATCTAAATAGATGAAATTGAAAAACGAAAAGTAAATATTTTATTAAGTCCTTGCTATTTCGTTTGGGTTAGATGAGGTGAGTTTAAAGGAGTATTTTTATTTCCAGGCTATATTTACCAAAATTTTTTGCAAAATGTTCAGTTTTGACCTAAGCATGAACATACTTAAGTTTGATTCAAAAAAGATATTTTTTAAACAACTTTTGAATGTTCAAAAAAAGTCTTTTGCAGACCAAATGTCGCTAGGCATGTTACAAAGATGTGAATTTGGGCCAAAGTTTTGTACACCTAAAGTGGTTTTACAGGTTTCATTCTTCAAAATTTGAATCAATAACTGTTCACACTACAAAATTTGATTTAATAACTGTTCACACTTCAGAATTTGATTTAATAACTGTTCACACTTGGGTTATATGTGGAAAACTAGGAATTAGAAATAGTTTACGTAATTAAATGTCAATTTGTAAAACAATGTTTTTTCAATTTAATTGCTCTCAAAAATAATTTTATCTATGCATATAATTAATTTACTTGAACTACCCAGTTGGCATCTGTAAGTGGTCCAACAGACATCCCTAGGAAAATGCCTGCCCACTGGGTACATTTTAAAAACTAAAAAGATCGCTATGATTGTAAGAGTAATAGGATACTAATAATGTTAAAAAGTCTAATTTTAGTAATTTGAAAATATTGCTTAGTTAATGTTGGAAAGTTTATAATGAAATTAACTTGATTAATAAAATCTATAATAAAATTTGTTTTTAAATAAATTTTAATTCGACTTGAATAGATAGATTTTTTGAATTGAATCTCAAAATGTATATAATGTGTATATATATATATATATATATATATATATATATATATATATATATATGTATATGTATATGTATGTGTGTGTGTTTTAAATGTGTTATTTGTTAATAATAGTTATATATTAATATATATAAGGAAAGAGCTATATGTATCATTGATTTTGTATTAAAAAACACATACTTTTGTATGTCAAGTATTTTTCTTACTTTGAAAAGTATATATTAGGAAGTAAAGAAGGGAAACTTCTTCTTTCAAGATTTGAAAATGGTTAGAGATAAAATAATAGTATTGCAGCTTTTCTAGAGTGAATATGTGAAGCATATACAAGACTTATATCCAGAATGGAGTAGCAAAGTATTTAAAAATCATCAATTGGAAACAACAAATGGAAATTTGAATAAAAAAAATAAGGTATTTTTTTTTTTTAATAAAAAAAATAAGGTTTTTTTTTTTGTCTAATTTTTAAATTAGTGGAAAGATTTTGTTTTATTGAATGTAGCATTTTTATTCTAATATTATTACAATTTATTCCAAGTAACTCGAATACCGGTTAACTTAAACTTTTACTATCTTGAACTGTTTCATTTGGTCCCTTGGAATTGTTTAATCGATTACTTTAAAAATTCTCTGTTTAATTTGAACCTTATAAACAAATTCTTTGGATAACTCAAACTTTTTGTATGGGAATTAAGTATATTGACATATTTTTTTAAAAAAAGATGCCACTCCATTTAAAAGCATAAATAAATGTAACCTGATAATTACTTTATTTTTATGTTGTATTAAGTTCTGAATAGATCGTTGTAAAATAGTGTTATAATAAAACTGTTAAAAGGTATCATGATAAAACCTTTAAAAAAACAATTATTTTATAGAAATTCTAAATAGAAGCGCGTTTCCTTTTAAACACAATTTTATTACCAATTAGTAAGGAAGTCATTGTGTCACTTAATTTTTTCGAATATTTCCATTTGGCTGTACTGCATGACTACAATTTAACTTCTTTCATTGAAACATCAGTTTAATGGTATTAATTAAATGTATATACTTCTCCCTTGAATAAAGAAAAACCCGAACCAATATCTCATATCAGCCAAATTTCGACTTTACAAGAATTCACTTTAGGAATTCAAATTTTTGTGTGAATGTTAACCTCCCCCAGCATATAACCTATGTATGTTGGAAAAGTTTGTTTCATATGAAGAATACAAGATTTGTGTCACTATCTTCCTATACACTTGAGTTTAGATTTAATAAAAATTATTCCTTTTTTTTTTTTTTTCAAAGTTTATAATACATTCAAAGTAATTTTGTTTAAACAAAAAAGATTTTCTAAATGCAAAAAGTTTTCCAACATAAAGATTACTACTGTCTAGACAAGAACAATATAAAAAGAAAATACTAATTTTTCCTCTCTGGCAAATATGAGGTGCAAGAACATACCTATCTGGAAAGTACTTAAAACATGTAAGTTTTTTCAATATGTTTCTTCCTATTTACATTATATGCAGAACAAATGAATGGGTGTAACAGAAAATTTTTTTTTTTGCAGAACAAATTAATGGATATAACAATCAAATTTAGAGATAAGCAAAATGTTTTTCTGTCTAACACGTCTTCTTCATTTAATAATTTGGTAACCTGTCAACAGGTTGACAGATGTAAATCTGCTTTACATTGTTTTCTGCCTATGGTGATGAGCCTTGTGTCTTTTTGATTTTAATTGTGGTATTTTGCTTCAACCTTCTTTTTAGTGGTTATGTAACACGTTCTGTAAATAAGGAATCTCTTAATGTAGGTACAACTTTAAAACTCAGTTTAATAGTTTGGTAGTAAAGATTTTCAAACTCTGGTTTGAAGTTTGGAGAAGCTGATTCCGTAAACGGCTGTAAAATATCAATGCATTAACAGCGCCATGTTGTGCACAGAAAATGTACCTGCTTTGCTATTGGTTTGAATTGACTTCAGTTTGATTAATAGGAACTAAGTTACTGCATAGCTTATTGCAATGTCATATATTATCTGTGATATCAAGTTCTCTATTAATTACAAACATCAATAAAGTAACAAAAAATACTAAACAAAATTAACCATCATTACAACCAAGTTCTTTCAATCTATCCTTTATAAGCATTCAAAGTCTTAAAATTAATTTTTCACCCATTAAGTCTTTTTTGAAATTCATTAAACCTATTTGCTTCTTGTGAGACTAATTTAGATTTAATGGACCATACTTGTGATGTATTTCTAAGTAGCTAATTCAAGACTTCCTGGGAAGTCTTGAATTAGCTACTTGAAAGCGTGTGCTGTTACACGCATTGTATGTCTACATTTAAAGTAATTTTTTTAGACACACTGACTATCCTCAAAATGATGGTGCGAATTTAAAAGATTCTACAAGTAATTTTTTTAGACACACTGGCAGTTCACATCTTTTAACTTATAAAGCATTTCAATAATTTTTTATACATCTTAAGTATTTTAAAAACTTAAAAAAATATTTTAAACAGACTCTTTTGAAACAGACTCTTTTGAACAGAAAATTTTGTTAAAAAGTTCAGTAAATTACACTAGCACACAAGCTTTTAGAGCATTGTCAATAACAATAGTTCATAAGGAAAAAAACTATCGGGTTTAAATGCACATTTTGGATAATCCAACAAAAGTGCAAACTATTTCAATGGGTAGTGAAAACAATCAATTATTATGTATTTAAATATAAGTATTAACGACTTTTTATTATTTATTTACATGAAAACTTATTGTTTTTTTACATGAAATAATTGTTTAAAAAAAAAAAAATCTTTCAAATAAACAGCAATTAGTTTTCTCGCTTTCCTGTGCATTCATAAAAACAGTAGTTTAGCAAAAATATTTCAAAAACAAATTTAAAAAATTTCAATTTTCTTAATAAACTGACTGAAAAAAGTTCGAAAAAATCGTATATCAAAAAATGTTTTTATTTTTATTATATATTTAATGCTTTTTTCCTCGAATTAATATTGGTAGTGGAAAATAACAAACATCCTAAAAAGAAAACAAAATCAGTAAAATAATATTTTTTTGACAAAAAATTTTAATTTTTTTTCAGTTTATTTTATTTAGATTTTCTATTTTTTATAGTGTTTGTGTTTTTTTCTTCAAGTTTTATTTAAGTATTGCTATTTTATACTTTAAGTGTGGATGAACAAGGTGTGAGACTGCACATGTTTCTCAGGAAGGCTTGCTTATTTGCTGATGACACTATTCCAGTTTTATCTAAAAGTTATCACTTTTTGCTTAGAATAGACAGCTATTCTTGAATCTGGTCACTTTTCTGTGACAGCTTGGGACTTGCAGTAGCTGCTGAATTATTACCCATACTCAGTTTTTTACTGCTAAAAGTTATCACATTTTTTTTTTTTTTTACAATCTATTAATATACAATCTATTGCATATTTAGCACCCACTAAAATTGCTTTTCTTTATTGTTTTTGTCATTTTTTTACTCCTATTTCCATTCTATATGTAATAGCGCGTATACATCTGCTTTTTAAAAATATCAAAACCGCAAATAATCAATCTATGGCAGTGTGCAAAATATTTAAATCTCGCATTGATAATGTTTTTTAAAAAAAATAAATTTAGTTAAATAGTGAACAATTATATGATTATAACAATTATAATAATTCCTGGATATAAGCTTTTAATTATTTTCATAGATTTTTCTGTGAGTGATTTTATTTAGTCATCAAAAAAATAAACAATAAATGTAAAAAACAACAAAACTAAATAAACAACAAATGTAAATTTGCGTTTTTAGATAGCATTTTTAATAAAATTAGGTTTATTTAGCCAAAATTTCAGTATTAGTTTTAGTAAAATGTTTGCAAAAATGTCAGTTTCGGTATTTGTGTTTGTAACCATTGTATTGAACTTTTCAGAAATTTCAATTTTGGCTTAGATGTAATTTTCTGTTTTGGTTGATCACTATTTGTAAAAAAAATTAAATGATTATGGTTTAGTTATAAATGTCTATTATTTTAAGGAAACCAGACCTTTACTCTCAGAGGATTTTCTCCACAGAAAGTACGATACTTTATACCCAGAGGTTGCTAAACAAAGAAACCAAGATTATCTGTACCCAAAATTTGCTTCCCAAAAATTGAATGATTTTTTAGACTCTGAGGTTGTTGCCCAAAGTATGAATGATTCTTTATACCCAGAGTTTGTTCACCGTAGAATGCAAGAATGGAAAACTGACCCTTCTTTTTCTGCAAGTATCCCAAAAATCCATTCATCAAACAAATTCAAAAGTCAATTGAGTACTAATTCAAATAAAATGTACACAACCAGCTTATTGAGAGATGACACTATGAAGAGTAATTATTTTTCACAAGACTCTTTTCATAGAGAACCGACCAGATTTGATGAAAATAGATCATATCTTACATTTCAGAAACCCTCTCTGTTACATCATTCTCAAATAAAAGTTAAAGAAGAAGAAAATAAACGTTTCTTTCCTTTTTATAGTACGCCAAATAAAATAGATTATGAAAGAAAGAAAATATTTCCTGATTCTTTAAAGTTTTTTCCAATGGCTCAGGAAAAAGCTTCCATTCCAGTTGAAAGTCAAATATATAACCTAAATCAAAGACAAGCATTCCTGCCAACTGAAAATCAAAGCCCTAATCAAAGTAGGAATTATATGTCAGTTGAAGATCAGGTATACACTCATAATCAAAGTCAGACATTTATGTCAACAGAAAATGAAATAAAAATTCTTCCTCAACTAGTTGGTATAGCACCTGATGGTCGATTAGTTCTGCTACCTATGTCATCTCCTCCATTGAATTCAGTGATTTATAATAAATCCAATTATGAAGTGTCAACAAATAGTTCAAATGTACCTTTTTTTAAAGATAATTCTAATGACAAAGCAAAATCTGATCCTAGTTTACAAATTGAGACAGAATTCAGTAAAGAACATATTGATAAAAGTATTATATATCAACAATCAGTAAAGCCTAAAAATTATAATAAAGATTTGCTTTTTAATCATAAAGAAATTACATCATTAACTACTAAATCAACTTTAAAAGAGCGTTCAAATAGTAACCATACGTTGTCTGGTAACCTTGATTTATCTGGAAACCATGATATATCAGGAAACCTTGATTTACCTGGGAACCATGGTATATCTGGAAACCATGATATATCTGGAAACCATGATTTACCTGGCAACCATGATTTACCTGAGAATCACAGTTTCTCTGGCTGCTATTTACCTGGAAATAAAAATTTAAATAATGAATATAAGGATAAATGTGATAATATTGAAAAAAGAATACTTGGTCAAAGTTATGAAAGCAATGCATTGGAAAAAAGGTTAAATATAAACCAAACTTCTCAAGCTGTAAATCAAAAAATTGATTCTCAAGATATGGACCAATATTCAATAGGTGATCATACTGAAAATCAATATCAGGCAGACAGTCATATATCATCAGACAAAAATACTGAAAGCCATTCAGACTTAGTATCATTTATAGAAAATAAATCCGAAAGTATAGCAAATAAATCCAATTATAAAAATGATGTACAATTAAAATCCAAAAATTGTATTAATGAACCTCTAGCTTCTGATGTTTTAAGTAGTTTCTCTACTTTAATCCACCCGGAAAGTACTGTATCTAAACATGCAAACAAATCAGAAATATCAAATAAAAATTTAGTCACCATAATTAGTGATCATCAAAATAATCAAGATTCTGAATTTTTACAGCCTCAAAATGATGGTGCGAATTTAAAAGATTCTACATTAATTTCTTTGCTAGAGTTGATTATTGAGCAAGTAGAAAGCAATATTGAAAGTTTTTCTTTGAATCTGACAGAAGAGTTTTCTTTGGTTAATCCCATCATAAGGTAAATTGCAAAATTTAAATATATTTTATTATGGAAATATAAACAATTATAATAATCAATATGTATAATATATAATAATAAATAATCAACAAGTAATTATAAACAATGCATGATTTTTTTTTTTTTTTCCAGTTCATTAGTTGACAATCGAAATACCGAAAAGTACAATGTTTCAGAAAATTTTATGGCTCTGCGTTATTGCTTCAAAGTGTTTATATTACAAAATGAGAAGATCCCTTTTTTTATAGATTCAATTGATAAGGAAATTAATTTTGAGGGAGATCTCAGGTAATAAATATTTAATTGATTTTTTCAGGGATGCAAAGTCCTATTGATTTTTTGAAACTTTAAAGTAAAAATGTTGGACTTGCTGTTACTACTGGTTCCTTGAAGTCAAAAATGTTGAACTTGTTGTTAGTGATAGTTCTTTTTATGGTTTATAACTCTTATGAATTATTAATAGAATTTCCTTTTATTTTATTTTAAGCTTGATTCTATTCTTATGTTGGGTTTATTTTAATTCAAACAAACATTTGTTTACTGTAGTATATATAGTATTCCTTAAAATAAATGCATTATAATTATAATTTTGAATTTAAATATATAAAATATATATTATTATATTAATAATATTTATATTAATGTTACATAATTTTTGGTTATTATGATTATAATTTTAAGATTATCTGTAGCGCTAAAGCCAACAAGGTTATGATTGTACAGAATTAATTACCATTAGAAATAAAAAATCCAAAAAATTTCTATTTAGAGGTAGTTTCAATTTTAATTATTGGCTACAGTTATTCTTTTATGCTTAGAGAGAGTTTTTTTTAGCAATAGCTTTTATCCCACTTTTCAAAATCGGGTGAAACATATACATATATTGAGAGTAGTTATCATACATTTGAAAGTTATTATGTGTATGTTGTTGAATTGATTTGACTATTTGAACCAAAACTAACAAAAAGGTTCTTGTTTTTTTTTTCCATAATTATAAAAAGTCTGAATTTTACCATTTCTACTGGGTCTCTTCCTACTCACCCTACACTCTAAAAAAAAAAAAAATTCTACCTTAGGAAGGGTATGTCTTATACCCTTACTGAAGTATAATTTTTAAGGTAAAAAGTTATACCTTGAAGGTAGAAAATTGACAAATCATTGTTTTTGACATAATTTTCTATCTTAAAATGTAGAAAATTATACCTAACTAAGGGTATATCACATATCCTACCCTAAGGTAGAAATTTTTACCTTTTTTTAGTGGGTTGGTAAAAACAGGGGCTCTTAAACCTTGACTTTGCATCCCTGGATTTATTATTATTATTTTTTTTTTACAAGATGTTTATTTAACAATTTTTTGTAATTTTTGTAGCATCTTATTATAAGTGTTTGTTCTTGTAATGATAGTGGCTTTGTTATGATAGTGTGCAATATAAATGTTTATTTTTGTGGTGCAGCTTTATTATGAGAGTGTGCAATATAAATGAAAATTTAAATCTTATAGCCCAATGAAATTTGTTAAAATCAATCAGTAGATTCCAAAAAAAAAGTTGTTTACTACTAAATAATTATCACCATGGTAATATTTCTATGTTGATTAATGGCAACACTGAATCTTTTACTTTACATCTTCTCTGATTATCTTTTGCTACTGACCTTTCACATATCCATATGGATCCAATCTGTTATAAAGTTCTTCTAAAAGAAATATATACAATCCATTATAAAGTTCTTCTAAAAGAAATATATACAATCCATTATAAAGTTCTACTAAAATATATATATATATATATATATATATATATATATATATATATATATATATATGTATATATCAACCCTCGGAATTAGTGTCGGCATTCGGCAATGCCAACTTAACTGCCAACCTGAAAGTGTTTGAGGTCGGCAAAAAATTACCGACCTTGTCACTATGTTTTTTGGTTAGACTTTTGTATCAAATAATTGACAACCTGATGCCGACCAAAAGATTAAGTTCGGCAATAATTTGCCGACCTCATTTTTCCTAATTCCGAGGTTTGATATATATATATATATATATATATATATATATATATATATATATATATATATATATATATATATATATATATATATATATATATATATATATGTATATATATGTTTTAGTTTCAAAAAGGTAAGTTTGGTTGAATCTGATTGAACTTTCAAGCTTCATTCTCTGTCTCATCCTCTGTCTTGTTCCACTAACCATAATATAATTTTGTATGACTTGTCATTCAGCAAAGTTTCATCTTGCTTAAAAAAGTTAAATTTATCTTCTTTTTTTTTTTCTTAAAATATTAATGCATTGAAATTCACTCCTGTTAATTGAAACTCCTGTTTTCCTGATAATTTTTAGCTAAGTTTTCTAATTTACATTCTAAGTTTTTAAAGGAGATTACATATAACACTAGTTAGCAGTTTTTAAAAAGTTTTTTATCTTTGATTTTTTGGCTTTTTTCATGTGTATATCAATGTTTTTATATGTGTATCAATGTTGTGACAACCAAGGTTGGGATCAAATACATATTTATGTTTGTATTTGGTAAACATAGTCTAAATTGTCATATTTGTATTCATATTGTAGTTGATTTAAATAATTTTTTCAATATTTGTATTTAATTAAAATGTATTTCCAGTTTCAAATTAGCTTATTGAAAAATACCAAGAGATTCATTGTTGTTTTTTTCATTTTATAATCAATAATATTTTTTAAGGGATATTTGTTAGAAGACTTGTTTTCATTCTTCTATTTAATAGACCATTTTATCATTCTTGTCTTGAAAAAATTGTTAAAGGTTTTCTTAACCCAAATTACAAATATTTGTATTTGTATTTGGAAAATGTGGATTGCATGTATTTAGAAAATGTGGATTGCATGTATTTAGAAAATTTGGATGTATTTATTTGGAAAATGTGGATTGCATGTATTTGTGTTTGAATTAGTGTTTCGGAATCTAGAATTAGCGTATTTGTATTTGTAGTTGATCAAACATATTTGACTGGTGATAACAGTAATGTCTTTATATGCATATCAATGATGTTGGAGGATTTGTTGAATTGGAGAATATAACAGGTTGGAGAATTATGAACTTTTTATAAATTGAGCTGCAGACTTTGTGATAATAACGCATTTGCTCAACATAGTTTTTGATGTCATAAAAATCTTTTTATTTGCTTTTCATATTTAGACTTTTTAAACTACTGCAATTTAAAAAATTACCGCAAAAACAATTTTAAATGAAAAATTAGCTAAAAACAAAAGAGAAATGTTATTATGTAATTATGTTATTAAACTTAGATTACGGTTTTTTAAAGTATAAAAATATTAGTTTATTTTTTCGACATTAGACACGATCATATTTTTTCTATAACTTAATGAATAAAAAAAATTTTGTTTTATTTCTTGAATATGTATTAACAGTTTTGCAAATAAAAATTTTGTTTTTATTTTTAAACATTCTTCTAGTATTTAACTAAAATTTTTGAATATTTCAAGAAGAAAAAAACCAAGCAGTAGCAAATTTTTTTACTAGCAATTTTATGTAAAATTCATTTTTTTTTTTTATGTTTGTTTTTTGTACAAAATGATTGATATATGCTTGTGTTATTAAAATGTGTTATTAACACTTATGTTATTTAAACACTTTTAATGTACGCTTTGTATGAATTTTTAATGTTTACAAGGAATTTTATTCTTTTAAAATATAATAAAATGATAGAATAAAAAAGACAGGTTGAAACGATAACTCTGGCAAAATAGTAATATTTGCTTATTTAAAGATACATAATAATAGTCGTGCTGAAATTTAAAATCTATCAGGTTAAACCTAAGCATTACATGGTTAAATATGAACAATATATTTTCAACATAGTCAATCATATTTTAAGCGTACATGCTTTTGATTAACGCTGCCTCTCTCCAGTGATAAAATCAATCATTATTTAGAAACCAATTAACTAAGTCAAGTTAAAAGTAAAGTGCTGTTTTATTGCAGGTTATTGCTGTATTTTGAATAACTGAACAGATGTTTGTTCATAAGTTCATTACAATGAACTTATAAAACTAACATTGTCTGAATAAATATTCACACTCCTGTTAGATTATTTGCTTAAACTAATTTTTTTGTTTGTCTTTATTCAATAACTTTACTAACATTTCGTTTATTTTACGTCATATTAAAATGATGAACAAGTTTTTCTTCTGTAACTGAATATTTTGATTATTATGATGTTTTTGATTATTATGATGTTTTGATTATTATAATGTTTTGATTATTATGATGTTTTGATAAAAAAAAAGTTAGTTTTATAAAAATTCAAACATAAATTTTTTTATCTTTTGATTTATTATATTTGTAAATAATAAGCATATTTGTAATTTAAACTTGCCACAACGGTGTTCAGGTTTTAAAATGTCAGCCACTTCATTAAAATACTGTTAAAATAAATGTTAACTACCTCATTAAAATATTGCCTTTAAGTGCCTATAAAGTTATTTAGATATTATCAAACAAAAACGTTTTTAGTCATGGCATATGTGAAATGCTCTATGCTAGACCCTTTATCACATACCCTGCTATAAATTTAATCTAAAGACATTTCTAAATACATGTCTAATACTTTTCTATAGAAAAGTATTATGCATGTCCCCAGTTTTAGAGGTTGGAAGCACAAGTATTGCAACATATCTGTCATGCTTTTGTCTCCTAAAAATTGTATGAAATACATTTTAAATTGGTTGTTAATTGTGCAGTGTTTTTAATCTTTTCAAAAATTAAATTCAAAATTTGTAATTTAGATTTTTAGTTTACAATTATAGATTTACAATGTTTGTATGTTCAAAATAAGAATAACTCATTTTGTGTATGTTTAATATTTGGAATATTTTAAATTAATTAAAAATGTTGCTACAGTTTTATTTATCCAATCAAAAAAAGTGGTAAAAAACTATTTATTGCAAAAATTTAATGAGGTTTTGAGGAAGTTTTACCTTCTTCTAGGATTTATCAAATAAATTTTGTTCTGTTGTGTGTGTCTATTTTTTTGTTAAAAAAGAAAGAGAATCTATTTTGGTTAGGCTGATGAAACCAGTTCAGGGGATACAAAAAACAGAAGAACTTTGCTGAAGCTAGCAATCTGTTCTTTCTTTCATCTTCATTGTTGTAATATTGTACATATTGCTGCATCATGCCAACATGTCACCTTTTCCATTCAAACTTGCGCAGATCACTTGGAGCATGACTCATTCTTTTAAATTGCTATTTAATCGCTAATCTATTGTTTGCAGTTTAAAACAAATTTTGAATTTATTTACTAAGTTTATAAAACCTGTGTATTGATTTTCACATTAAGATGATGATAAAGGAGACAAACCAAAAAGGTGTGTCTTGCCATCTATGTTTACAAGAACTTTTTTCCCTGCATTTATTTCATAAAAGGTTTTCCATTAAAATGTATAATACATGCATAATTGTAAACTTTTATTTTATTTTTTTTTATTCACTTTTGACATTCTTCTAAAAGCTGTTGACTTACTGCAATGTATACCTCTAAGATTGACACATCTTTAGGATCCACACATCATCATCTATAAGATTGACGCCTGCTTCAGTAGAATGGAGTAAGTCTCTTTCTACAGAGAATTTAGTGAAACATCACTTAATGTACCTATAAAGAGCATCAATTCCAGCATACACCTGTTTTCTGTTGCCACTGTACTGTAGCTATTGTACTGTTAAATAGAGGTGATACTAAGTAAATCCATATCTATATACATCTATATCTATATATAGTATAAATAAATATAATTATTAGTATGCACTATGTATAACTACATTTTTAAATTTTTTCCATTTTAGAGACTGTGTTAATGAGCTGTTCTTAGAGGTTTGGGACCAACTTTTTATGTTCATGGTTATTTTTGTATCTAAATTTCCATTTCAATTAGAGCAATTAGCAGATATAATAGCTCATTTATTAGTACCTATGGAAAATGAGGCAGAAAAGGTAGTAAAAGTTCCACCTTTTTTTATTTTGCTATTATACTTAAATTAATTATTAAAAATTATTTAAAATGTAAAAATATAAAAGTTAAAAACTATTGTCATCACTTATTTGTTTTAAGCTTTTTCAATATTCACTTTAAAGCAATTTATATTAAATCTTTATTCATTCATAATACGAACTCTAAGTTCGTATTATGGATGAGTAAAGTCAGATCTTCTGACACTTTGTGAGATTTATTTTTTTTAATCTATTACTAGTTATCTAGTTACCATTAAAGATCTTTTTTTTTTTTAAGTACTAACATGTACTTAGATTTGCTTTATTCTCATTTATACCTAAGGTTCAAACAGTTTTCTCTTATTACTGTAACTTTAATTAAAATATTTAATATTAAAAAAAAAATGGTTAAAACATTCTTCTCCTACATCAGGTTCACACTATCGTTGTACTCATAAATATCTTATTTCTTTTTTGTGATTTTTCTAGTAATAGTTTTTTTTAGGTTTTTATGCTGATAAATGTGTTTTTAAAGAAATCTACTGTATTTTAATCTTACTCTTTGATTCCACTTCAAGTTTTTTTATTTTCTAAATCTTGTATATAATTAAAAAATCTTTTGAGACTTTTGAAAAATCTTCAATTACTGAGATAACTAAAGATAAATTGATCTTTTATCTGCCATGTTTGAGTCAGTTCTTATTTGTTCTTTTTAAGATATGCGGAGTTTGCAAAGAAAGTTCCCTCAAATATTATTCTCTTTATTCTAATAATCCCATTCTTCCTGATATTCTTGCCAAAAAACTTCTTTGCTAGATATTCTAGTCATTCTGGCTTTTTTAGCTAAATAAAAATGCATTGGTTTATATAATTCAAATGATTTATGTAATTTATAAGTCTTAGGTTAACTTTTATCTGATTTTTAACTGTCTTCTTTATTTTTCCAGTAACTTTCAATTTAATTAGTGCTTGCAACTTTTCTTGCAATTTAATTAGTGGCTGCTTGCAATGTTGTGTTATTGAAAGTAGATTTTTATTTTTATTTTATTAGTGTTCATAATTTTTAAAGTTTAATTAAATGTTATTTGTTTTAGTTAAAGGATGTTTTGATTGTAATTCTCTCGGATTCAATGGAAAGCATTTCAGAATTTAACGAAGAATCCATCAACGAATCTTATAAATCACCAAATATAGTAAACAAATCTATTGAATCACCAGTTAAAATAAATACCCCTAATAAAAAGTTTATTGCAAATGATAATTTATCCAAAGTTTCATCAGTTAACAAGTTAAATTTATTAGATATAGAGGATGATAAATTTGAAATAAAACAAGAAGTTATAAAGGATTCCAACAAAGATGTGATTAAGGATAGTGTCATAGAAAATGAAGCAAAAGAAAAACATAATAATGGAACAGAATTAGGAGAAGATAGTATCATAGAAGATGAAGTAAAAAAAACGCATAATAATGGAATCGAATTAAAAGAAGATAATATCATAGAAGATAAAGAAATCAAAAAGAGTAGTAAGGAAGAGATGGAGAAAGAAAATAATATTAAAAAAAAGGTTGAAAAAGAAAATAGCTTTAAGGGAGAAGAGATAAATAATAAAAAGGGGAATGTGAAAGATACAAAAATTGAAAAAAAGATAAATTTGCCACCAATTGATCGAGAATCTCTTATAGATCTCAAATATGATTTAAGCTCCTCTGAAAGTGACAATGAATCGTCAGTATCATTTGATTCAGATGGTATGCCTGTTGTTAAAACTCCTACCATGGAATCCAATCGTACTAAAACTCCAGTTTTTTCGGAATTCAGTCCTCCTTTGAGTAGGAATGAAGAAGTCAATGTTGATATAAGTTCAGATGTTTCTGAAAAGTCTCATGAAAATAAATTAATCACACACAAAGATGAAGACAGCGATGATGATATTGATATGCTCATGAATGAGAGTTTAAATATAAGTAAAAGGTTTTCTCGATTTTTTCAATAATTATTTGTTTTCTTAACTTCCGTTTTTTAAACATAAATTTTATTTTTTAAATCAAAAAATTTAAAGTGAAATTTTTGATCGTTAGTTTTAGATTTAATATTCAAAAATTTTTAGATATTTTTTTAAAAAAAGTTTCTATTTTTATATAATTTATTTTATTTATAAAGTAAATTATGAATGATTAATTTTATATAATCATTTTTGTTCCTTTTTATCTAGATCATCAAATACCCAAAAAGAGCAAACACCAAAACAGAATAGCAAAATGATTGATTGGTATGCAAGATTAAATTTATAGGTACAGCAGGGCCGTAAGAACACTTGAGTTTTTTTTTGTCAATTTTTGAAAATTTCTATAACAATTTTTGTACTTTAAGATAGTTCTCTTTGCTAACTGGACCAATGACTTTAAATGCTTCCTACGGGCCTGTGTACAATATTCTGCCATATAATATTTTTTACATAAATTTTTTTGTTACAACCAATCAAAACAAGTATCTTAGATTTATTGCACCACCATTTCACCATTATTGCACCACCACTACATCATTATTTTTTACTTATAGCAAATAATTATTTTTAATAAAATTTTTGTTATTATTGCTAGAAAATTCGTGGGCCATAATTTTCTATAAATTTTTTTTAGGAATGATAAAAATTTATTACCAACAGAATCTAAGGTTTCTGAAAAATTAACTTTGAAAAAGCCAGGTAAAAAAATTTTTTTTTTTTTTTTTTTTTTTTTTTTTTTGCTCAAACTTTTGGACATAATTTTTTCATAAATTCAGATTATCATAGTGTTCAAGAAAAGTTAATTATTTTTTATACGTACATGCGTATATATACATACATACATACATACATACATACATACATACATACATACATACATACATACATACATACATACATATGTTGCACAGAAGGAATCGAAGGTGCAATTTGTCTTTATTTTTGCATGATGAATAAATTTCCTCCATTACTTTGGTTACTTCTGATTGGTTACTTCTGGGTATCTGTAGTATAGAAGGCTCTCGCTTCCAGTAATTTTTCAAAGAGCTTAAAGCCTTTTTGTATGGATTCAGTATTTCAGCCAAGTTATTAAAGTTGTTTTTGTTGTACAGATGTTTTGTAAACCAATGGTCTGCCCAGCCATACGATATAAATCGACTTTCTACAGAACTGTCCTTGTTGAAGGAATTAAAATGAAGGCCAGGATCACTAATATAGCTCTGGAGTTCCACCTCGCATTGCTGATGTTAGGTATTTTCTGAAACCTGATCAATGAAAAAAGTCCCTTTTCCTCAAAAAATTGGAACACTCGAGTGAGATGAAACAAAAATTTCACATCATCTCCAGCCTGATGTTTCAAGAATTACTTCTAATCCGTTATCAAACTGTGTTTTCAGTTGTTCGTACTCCTTCAACAGTTGAGGTACAAATGGATATTCGATGTTTGGCGATTGTGTTTTGCTTCTAAGTTCTTTATCCATCACCAAATGGAGGATTCTATCTAATACATGGTGTTGACAACTGATGTTTGTTGATGCGTTCGCAGAGAAACGCATCAACAAACTGAGGTTTGTTGATGCGTTTCTCTGCGAACAAGAATGGCGTTGTTGCAATATTACAACAACGCCATTCTTTTTTCCAGTGTTAATGCTGATGGTATCTGCAACAATCATCTGTATTGAATACAATAGGTGAAGTTCATCGAGGACTTGAGAAATTCCTTGAGTAATAGTTAAAGCCCTGCCATCTACTAAGCCAAGGACATCCAATTTGATTTCTTTTCTTTCATTTTTAAGGACGACTACTTGACAATCCATTCTGTCGATGTGCTTGCCATAAAAGAGTAAGGACTAAATTCCATATGCAACTTTACAATCATTTCTTCTTTCACTTGATTGCCTCTTTGATTGTTGACTTGTAAATAGCTGATTGACATGGAGTCGGATGTCAATATCTTCACGAGCCAATTGCTTGCATATGTTAGCAGCTTTGTTAGTTGATAGTCTTGTGGAGGTCACCAAGTTGACTGCGATTTTGCTTTTATGATGTTTTCTGCTTGGTAGAGTTGTCTCATCTTTTTCTTCTTCATTGTTGTCAGCCTGAGTCAGAATTACTAAAATCAGGATAGTTAGATGATGAGTTGGATGACTCCTTAGAAAGTTTTTGTCTTTAAGAGGGATGGATCTTTTCTTTACTGGACGCTTGCCCTGTAGAGTATCCCACTGTTCCTTTGCTTTCCACTTGGGGATGGTACAATCGTTTGTCCTCGGAAGATAAGCATGTTCCATCCAATTTAGTAATAACAAAAATTTTATCAAAGGGTTCGTAGCTTCCCCGCTTGACACATTCATCATAACATATCAGTATTTTATCAAGCTTTGCTCGTATAACTTGATTAGATACATGAGGAAAATTCAGTTTATTCTTCCACAATTTGGTGACTTCTTTGGAAATTTCCGCTATTCGCTCCTTTCTTGCTTTTATTTTTAGTCCAAGGAAATGGTAGCGTCCGATAATTTGCTTTCGGAGAGGCATTCTGCACTTTTCTTTTAGTGAATATTCTTCCAATTTGATCATTCTTCTTCTTTTATGAGTCTTCAAATTTTACCAGATTATTGGTCCAGACATCCTTGTTCTTCTGATTGCTACTATCGTCATGTGTTGCTTCTGAAATAACTATAAAATTAGACGAGCAGCTATATATAGTCTAAAATGTTCTAGAATATTCCAGAATGTTCCAAAATATTTTAAATTGTTCAAGAATGTTCTAAATTGTTCCAGAACGTTTTAAATTGTTCTAGAATGTTCTAAAGTCTTCTAAAATATTCTGGTATTTTCTAAAATGTTCTAAAGTTCTTGACACTTCTAACCTATGCAAGTTTTAAATGATTTGCAGGAAAGCCACACGTATTAGTAGTAGCAATAACAAGATTAAATGAATGACGAAACGTAATTTGAAGTAAGGGTGACCTTTTTTTACAACTGAGTGGAATTTAACATGTTTTCAATATTTTCTAATAAAAGTTCATCGATTTATGACACAGGAAATTAATTTTTTTTTTTTAAAGTCAAAAAGTCATAACCCTGACATAAAAACATACATACATACATACATACTTACATACATACATACATACATACATACATACATACATACATACATACATACATACATACAATGTATTTATGCCTGTATGTATGTGTATGATACGTACGTACTTTGGTACGTAGAGACACGTTGGACGTACATACTTTTACTTCTGAACCCTTTACTTCTCACCCCTCGATTGTATTTTATAGGTTTCTGGGATGAATCAGAATCGGATTCAGATGTACCAACGCCACCAATTCTTTCTTCAAAACGAAACAATGACGAAGACGATTTTGATTTCGATTTTTACGATTAGTGCGAAGTGCAACCAAATAAAGCTTATTTGGGAAATGAAGAGTGAAAATTATTCCATTGCAAATTAAGTTCAACTTATGAATTCAATTGCAATTCGAGCAGATGAATCATCTAATTATGTTAATCTAATTATGACGCGTATTGCTAGTCTAATTAGCTTTAGTAGAATTTTTTTGATATGTGAATTTTTACAAGAATTAGGTTGTAGGTTTTATCTTTTTTTTTTATTATTATTCTTTTTAGCAATGTTTTTTTAATTACAAACGTTACCAAAATTTGATTCGAAATCCTACATTCGAAACATAAATAGATATAATATATTAAATTTTATGATAGAACTTTGTAAAATATTATATAAAAACGATATATACTGATATAATTTTATTATAGCTTCTACTTTAGTGTGTAGCGATTTTATTGTACTATATTATACTAGGCTTTTTTTACTAATATATGCGTCTCAATAAAACGGTACAAGACAAAACAGTAAAAAATATTGTTTTGACAAAACCGAAACGGTACAACTTTAATTTGTTTCGTAAAAATACAGTTGAAACAAAATAAATTTTTAGTTGTTCTGTTTAAACAATGACAAATACTACAGCCCTTCCCGTCGCTAATCTGTATTTTAAACCAGCGGTAGACAATGTATAGAAAATATAAAAAATGGCTGAAAAACTTAGCAAACTAAGTCGTTTCCAGTTAATTTGCTAAATTTGAAATGTACTGGTTCAATGCTTAAAATATTTATTTGGTAATATAGTACAATGTTTCTTATTATGTTTACGTATTTAAGTTATAAATATTCAAAATTATCATAAATTTATTACACTAAAACTTTCCGCTTACTTTTCTTTTGTAAATTTTAAAAGTAAGAATACATTAAAATACCCACCGTACACAGCAATCAACGATGTACATTCAAACCGTTTGCGTACATTGGTTTTGTATAATTTACGAACATCTAATTATAAAATACAATGGTTATTAGACAACCTATTTTCCTGCATCATGTTTTCTTGTTACGTAGCAATACTAAACAGAACCATTTTTAATCTTTATTGCGTCGTTATTACATCACTTTTAGTTAGTCTAGTAGTTAGACTGTCTAATAGGTTAGGTTGTCTCCCCTCCCCCTCCTTACGACATTAGTCTGGATCCGCTCTTGAGCCCACTTGTTTTGAGTCTATGTAAATGATTTAAATAAAGCTTCTAACCTTATGAGTATAACCTTATGTTTGTGGACAATACTAATTTATTTCTGTCAAGCAATCGCATTTAAAAGCCTTTTTCAAATATGAATAAAGAACTCAATCACATCTCCAACTGGTTTAAGTGCAACAAGTTAACTTAAAACATTAATAAAACAAAACGGGTCCTTTTCCACTCCCTCGCAAAAAAGCAAATAATTTACCTAAAAATTTTATTGATAAAATAAAAAAGGAATCAGTCACAAGATTTTTAGGCATTTACATTGATGAAAATATTCCATGGAAGTATTATATCGACTTTATTTCTACTAAATAGGCCAAAAGTATTGGAATTCTAATTAAGGTTAGATACTAAGTAAACAAAATTCAACTCAACTCTACTACTCATTTATTCATAGCTATATAAATTATACAAATATTGTTTGGGGAAGTACCACTAAAAGTAAGTTACAAAATCTCTACCATCGCAATATGCGTCACTTAGCGGAAATAAGGTTTTTCTTACATTTCTTAAAGATATTTTTAATTTTAACTTTTTTAATACTTTTTTACGGAATTAGGTTAGTAGTTTCTAATTAAAAAAAGAATAATAATTTTTTTTAATTTTCTTTTTTATAGAGGGGGAATTTTAGAGTTAAAAACCACATGTTTTTGGTAAATTTTCGTATTGTTTACGATAAAAATTAAAATTTTGCATCATACTTCATACCAAAAAAAGTTTTTGCATAATAGTTTTTTCTTGTTTATTTTAGTCCGCAAAGATTAATGGATTGAATCATGTTACTTCAGAGGTTGGTAGTTTTTTATTTGATACAAATTTATGCAACTAATTGACTTTTCATAAGTAGAAAAATATTCTGGTTACCTCTGTAGTAAGATAATTCAATTCATTTTTATAGGTGTGAACTGTATAAAAATCGACTTGGGTTATTTTTCTGAAACCTTTTTCATTATAGTTATAATATAACAAAATGATATAATAAATAAAAATGCTTCAATGCTCAGTATTAAAAACTATCGGTTAACAACTCTTTATTAACAGTTAATTAAGTTAATTCGGAAAAGAAGAAAAAAATCTTTTTTTCTTCTTTTTAGTTTTTTTTTTTTAATTAAAAATATTTGATGTACTGTGTAAAAATTATTTTAAAATTTTTGTGGTTCTCAAATTAATAACCTATTTCCTTTTATAGTAGGAGTGCGACGCTAAATGCATCGTCAGAAACACGCAATTCGTTTAATATGTTTTGAAAATCGTTTATCTCTTTTAAATATTTTATTTGAAAAACGATAAACCACTTAAGGTTTACGAACTAATTGTCTATAATATTTTATGTTTTATGTTTCGTTGTAAAAATAAACAACCCTTGTTTATTTTTAAAGATCTTTTTACCCATAAAGCTATAAACAAATATATTTTGCGAAATAATAATTTATTAATCGAACCTTTTTATCAAACAAAATTTAATCAATTTTGCATAAACTATCGAACACCGTACTTAGGGGTCGTCCATAAAGTACGTACGCTTTTTATTCGTCCACCCCCTCCCTGCATTTTGCAATACGATTTATTGAGTACCCTCCAATTCCCTAAAAGTACCTACGCTTTTAACCTATTTATCTAACATTTTATGATATTTTTTTAATTTAGTGTCTCCTTTCTTTTATAATTGACCCACTGCCCTCCCATCTTGTAAACGCCATTTGTAGACCCCCCACCCTTCCCCTCCGAGAGTACGTACTTTATGGACGATCCCTTATGGAACAAAATTGTTGCTCCTAATTTTGATTTGTCAACTTCGTTTTCCGTTTTTAAAACTAAATTAAAAAACTATAATCTTTCTACTGAAAATATTTTTAAATATTATTAATATATTTGAAAATATATATAAATATTTTTGAAATGTAAAGTTATTTGTGGATAATTTTGATAATTTTTCACTCTGGATAATTTTTAAATCACTCTGCATAATTTTTAAAAATGTTTTTAGTCTTTGTTTTTTCTACATTGTTAATAGTTATTAAATTAGTTGTACCTTTATTTTATTATATATACGCATTTGATATATTTTATATGGTTCTGGGAGAAGATCTTTGAGATCTTCTTTTAGATACCAAATAATAATCTTGCCCCCAAAGTATATAAACTTTTTGTTTCGCAATTTCTTTCTTGCGTCAACCTCAGCAACCATCAATTTTAAAGAGACTCAATCTATAAGCAACTTAATTGTAAAAAGTTACATTTATATTCACTTTAGTGGTGATGTCAGTCAATTCATCAACTGAATAAAGCTGAACCTTTCACCACATTTTTTTAAGAACAAACCCTTTGTCACACAGCGCTTGTTTTGTTTTCTTCTATCTATAAAATAAGGTTATTATACAACTGCGGTACTTTTAGCTGCTTATATACAACTGCGGCATTGTTAGCACGAATCCTGATAACCTAGCTGACTCTAGAACGCCACTGACACATCAAGGTACCCTGTGATACAAACTTTGAAATCTTTTAATTTTGTCCGCGGAAAATAATTTAATTTTAATGTTCACATTAAGTGAAATTTTAACTTTATAGTGCGACAATAAAAACATCTGTTAAATGAGAACCTCTTTATACAATTTGATAAAAAATAATCCAAATTGCGTAGGCTTTGGCCTTAAAACTCTTCCTCTTGGCTTGACCTTGAAACTTTTGGCCTTGACCTTGGCCTTTGAACATGTGGCCTTCGCCACATATTTTTTGCTATTTTCAGCCTTGTTAACAACACTGATATACATAGTATGTATAGTATGTGCAACAAAGTTGTTAACGGAAATGTATTTTTTTTTTTTATTAATTTTGATAAGACATGAAATACGTTTAAAAATTATATGAATTTTTAATGAAATTGTAGGATACAAATTTATAATTGAACTATTGGAATAAGGGTATATTACGTCATTTCATTGTGACAGAAGATATTTGAAGAAAACTTTACTTAAAATTTATTATGATTTCGGTATTTTACAGCTTGTTTTCTTATTTGAAAAATATAATTCAACACCAATTAAAATAACGGTATTAAAAATCGTGGAAACTCTACTTAGCGGTTTAAAATCTTTACGTAACAGATTTTTTTATTTTTTCTTATTTTACAAAAACATCGCAAAGAAATATCGAACCAAACACAAACTTTCAAACTTAAAATTGCTTAAGATATTGCTTACACAAATGAGTCTTTTATGACTTTTTAAGAACTGAGTTTTACTGTTAATCAGTTTGTTAATTATGTATATAAACTTAAATGTTAATAAATAACAATCTTATGTCTTTTTTTATGCCTTTCCTGGACTTCCCGATGACGTCACCTATATTACAAATCTATCATTTGCATAGTGGCGTAACTATAAATTTAGCCCCCCCCCCCCGGCCAAAAAAGTAACGGAGCTCTCCTAAAATTTTTTCTCAATTTTTTCTCTAAAAATGCCTGTAGGGATACCTGAAAAATTATAAATTTATAAAATGTATTTGATAAAACAGAAATTAGTAACACTCATATTATCATTACCAGTCATATTATTCATATGAGTAAAATTTGTAAATCTCCACGAGGCCCTCTAAGTTCTGAGCCCCTCCCCCCCCCCCCCCGCCTTGTGAGGTTATGTGCCCCCTAGTTACGCCACTGATTTGCATTAAATCAATAGAGATCATTGAACAGAATAATAATTTTGGCAACAATTAGTTCTTGATGACATAGCATCGTGATGAAAAAAGTTGTTAAATATACCCACTTACCTTTTATACATTTTTTTTGATGTTTAATTCATCTTGTTAGAAATCTCATTTTTTATCTTGCTAGGACTCTCAGACAATGACAACCAATCAATCATATATCTATCAAATACATTAATTAATTGTAAACAATAAATATATAATTGCATATTATAACACCCAATACAATATCTGTTCGCCATCTATACTTTATCTTTCTAACTCAACTTCTTCTGTCTGTCATTCTACTATTCTTTGTTCTTCTTAAACTCTCTTATTCCTGGTCCGTTGTAGCGGGTTAAGATGCTCTTTAATGAGCTGAACTCGTCTTTGCGGATCTTGGTATGTGGCCTCTAAATGGCAATCAGCCGGAGGAGGATAAACCACAATACCATAAATCAATCGTATATATTCTGAAAAAATATTTTCATGGATATTTACAAATAGTAATTCTACTAATCTTAAGGAAAACGCCAAACATACAGAACTTTATGTATATAATTAATAATGGTGATAAAGTAAAGATAATAGGAATGATGGGAATAAAAAAAAAGCTCGAGGGAAATGTTAGGTAGCCCCGGACGGTGGGTAACTCGAGACACTTGATGTACTGCTTAAACTAAAAAAGCTGTGTTTTGGTGATTTTAAATACATAAAAACATTATTTGAGTGATAATAAGTCATATGCAAAATATCTATCAGAGCTCAAGATATTGTTTCCTACCACCAAAAGAGCGATGTATCATCATATTTGATTCACATATTAATATACTTAATTTTTATATAAACTAATAACTTTTTATTGATTAAAGAAACAATAGTATTTGCAACTTTTTAAAAATTTAAAAAAATTTGTTTAATATTTTAAAACCAGTATTTGTGAATGAGGTTTGATTGGGTGGTGCCGGACAATTTAATCCATTTACACTGCGCGACACAATGATAAGACATCCCAAAAATATCTATAAAACTCTACTATATATTTATATCTAAAAATTAACTTTTAAAGTAAATGAAAGCAATCGGTTTACAACACTAAACAACATTTTAATAAATTTATTTTTAACGTTACTCGCATTTTATTTAAAAAAAACGACCGTTTTTTCAGTGCGGCAAAATTATAAGACAATTTTACAAAAAACGTTTTATTTGGAAACCGCAGTTGTGGGCAATTATGAATATTTATTTGATGTAAACACCACAGACGATTATTTAACTGTAAACTTTTGTGAACTGTCAAAAAAATGAGTCACTCTGTTAGTTACATGGCTAGAGCTATTAAACACAGCCGAATTATGATTAAAAACTACGTTTATAGTCTTTAGTTTATAGAGTAGTTTCAAGTTTTTCATTTACTGCACGTCAAATTGCTGCAAAAGTAGGTGTGATTGCTAATTTACGTACAGTTCAGCAAGTTATTTATAACGCTTTTCACCTTTTGCGCGTAAACTTCAGCGAAAACCAGCTTTGACAACAAATCACATAAACAATTGAATAACTTTTGCAAAGGACAACTTATTACGTAACCACGTCACATTGCGTAACCACGTCACATGGAAAGAAGAGTAGCAACAAGTCGTATTTTCTGACGAAAAACAATTTTGTATTGATGGGCCAAATAAATGGAATTATTTTTTTCACGATTTACCATAACAACATCAAATGGGTGGTGGTGATGTAATGATTTAGTGTGCGATTGGGTATCATGGTAAATCAAAAGTTCTTTTTATTGACGGCAAAATGAAGGTTTATCTAATTATCTAAGGCTTATCTATTTAAGGATTATATTATAAGTGTTCAAGAATTTTAAAGACGTCAAGCATCTGTATTAAGTGGTGAAAATTTTGTTCTTCAGCAAGATAATGTTAACGTTCATACAGCTAAGATAGTAAAGGAATATTTCAGTTTTTTTTAATAAAATGCGAGTTAGGTTTAAAATAAATTTTTTAAAATATTTTTTAGTCTTGTAATCCTTTTGCTCTTATTTACTATAAAAATTAAGTTTTAAATATAAATGTATAGTAGAGTTTTATAAATGTTTTTTGGGTGTCTTATCATTATGTCGCGCAGTGTACATTTTAAAAATGAGCAACTTTTTTATATAAATAATATTACATTTAATATAATACACAAACCCATAATAGTAATTCATTTAATTCCAATAGTAGTCTAGATGCAAATAAATTCCAATAGTAGTCTGGATGCAAATAAAGCGTTTGATACTTGCACCTGGGATTTGCTATTTGAGTAGGTTTATTTCCAATAAACCTTCCTTTATCTGTTGTATACGCAATTACATCGCTATATCGTTCTGATACTGCAAGTATATCCTATCAGGGAGTTACCTCAGATCAATTCAGTTTGTCACAAGAAGTGCGACAAGGGTCTATTTTATAGCCATATTTATATAGCATCTATACTGAAAACATTTTAAATGAAATAGTCTCAGAAAGTAAAGTAGGATCGACGATAAATGGCATCTATACTGGTGTTATTGCATATGCAGATAATGTAATTTTGCTAAATCTAACAACCTCTGGTCTGCAAGAATTGATTGACAGATTTCAAACATATGGAATATTAAACTTTATCAAGCTAAACACTGAGAAAACGGAATTTCTGATCTCTGGTAAAAGTTCAATTTCCAACAACATTATTCAAATTAACGGAACTTATATACATCTCTAAAATAAATTAAAACATCTGGGTTTCCAATGGGATAACGGTACCAACAAAAACAAAATTGCAACACTTCAAAAAACAAATCTAAATGAACGTATAACGCAGTTTCAATCGGTTGCAATAGCTCTAATTGACAGTGGAATTCGTTTTTGTCAGCCGTCAACAATAGTCCATTTATACAATACCTTGACAGTGCCAAAGCTTATATATGGCCTTGAGCTATGCAACTATAACATAAATTTTCTAAAAAACATTGACGCTGTTGGAAAAGCAGTTTTAAAATCATTTTTTTGTATTTCAAAGTATAGTAAAAGTTACCTACATTCTTTTTTTAAAATAGAAGATATTTCAACTACTCTTCTTCGAAGTAAACCTATTAGTTAGGTTAATGAAAAATCAAACTTGCTATTCTCTGATAATTAGTCAATTACTGGCAACGCAAAATAAAAAATTATTATAGACGAAATGATTGCTATATGTAAAATTCGTGGCTTAAACATCTTTCAATGCATGATAGAAGGCAAAAAAATTAAATTCACACTACCTCAAGAAGAACTGTAAGCTGATACTATATCAATAATAAAAGAAGCGTTTCAATTTTGGAACTTAAAAGAACAAAGAGAAAAATTTAAAACAATGATGGAGGAGAATATTCCTAAAATAGATCTAACCGTCTAGTCAGTCTAGTTATTGGCATTAAAGACAAATATTTAGAGAGCTAAGACTGGCTTTAATTTAATTTGTAACTGTTTTAATATAAATTAGTTTACCTGTAATTTTATTACTGGGTGTTTAAGATAAAATAATAAAAAAAATACAATAAATAGCATATTTTTATTTGTAAAAAAAACAATATTTTCATTAGTAAAAAGCTAATGTTTATATTTATAAATGATGACATTTTTATTTCCATTCTATATATATCAGAGGCAATATTTAAAGGCGATTTTTTTTATATGTGTTGAAAACAGTCGAATGTTGAAACATGCTTATTTTCTAATATTTTTTCTTTTATGTTTTGTATATTAGAGTACACAACAATTATTATTTTTGTTTCCAATTCGATAAATGTTTTTATTTTTAAAAGTCTTTTGACACTTTGTTTTCTGTTAGTACAGTCTATTTGTTTTAGGTGGGTTAAACTAAAATACATATAAGAATAGTTGTATTTGCTTGCTTTCAAGGTATGCTCTCACTCTCTCTCATATCCAGAGTTCGTTTTGAACCTAGATCTCCTGCTTCTAAAGCAAGTGCTTTAACCAGTGCGCCACGGCCTCATATATATGCAGAGGGGATTATTACCATATAAAATTAATAGCCCCCTCAAATTGAGGGGGATCTGAAAGACCATAAAATGCTAGATCCGCTCCTGATGTTTATATTTAATTAAACAGTAAAATAAGTTGGTGTTCACTACAATTTTTATTATTTTGGGTTATAGGGGACTTAGTTAAAAATTAATTGATGAAAAAAGAAAATTTACATATTACATATATCAGACTGTCAACAAATAAATAATATTTAAGTATACAAAATTAGACTTCTACTAAAATATCTTGGAGTATACAAAAAATTATTTATATTTTGTAGAATTAAAAAGTTCTTTGTCTACTTTCCAAATAGGATCGTTAGACTTAGCTGATCTTTGCATCGCAGCAAAAACTAATTCGTTTCTTTTCTGGACTTCTTTTAATTTTTCTTCTGATTTCAAGTCATCTGAAAGTATCTAAACAAATAAGGAAAAACATAAAATAATATAAAAATAAAAGCATAAAAAAATAAAATTGTACTTTTTTTATTTAGTACAATAAATTATACTTATTCAATGATATAGAATAGGATAGGATATAAATATCACAATAATATAAGATATTAATAAGATGACGGTTTTTAATTTGAATTCTTAAACTTTTTACAATAAAGTAGAAAAATATTAGAAATACCTTAAAGAAGTTTCTGACTATCCCATTAAAAAATCTATTACTTGGAAAGAGATAAATTTTTATTTTAAATTTTAAATTTTAGAAGAATCTTAAACTTAATATGAGAAAAACATTTTTAACTTAAAATAACTAAATTAAATTTTAATGTTAAAATAAAAAAAAAAGTAGTGAATGATAATAAAAGAAAATTTATACACAATATTATACAGAAAATTAAATAAGCTCATATCTAAATCTTTTATAAGGGTAATAATATGTATGTTGTATGTATGTATGTATGTATGTATGTATGTATGTATGTATGTATGTATGTATGTATGTATGTATGTATAAACTTGAAATTTTCAAAAATTGAACATCTGCGATATATATACATACATACATACATATATACATATGTATGTATGTATGTATATATATCGCAGATGTTCAATTTTTGAAAATTTCAAGTTTTATATATTTTCACGATATTTTAGTACTAAGCTATTTTAATTTAAAATGTCATAACAAAAAAACAATGTTTTAAGGTTCTATGGTTTATATATTTTCACGATATTTTAGTACTAAGCTATTTTAATTTAAAATGTCATAACAAAAAATAGAGTTGCAACCCCAAAAAAAACGGTGTTTTTTTTAAAAAAAACGCGTTTTTTTTAAAAAAAACGCGTTTTTTTTGCAAAAAAAACAGACTGGTTCTAAAAACATGTTTTTTATAGTTTTTTTTGCTTTTTTTTAGTATTCATTAAATTTTAGATAATAATAATACTTGAAACAGTTCCAGTGCCCTTAACCCTACAAAATACAAATGTTTTCTATTTAATAAAATGCATATTAACTTATATAATAGCTGTTACAAACTAATCACCAATATTAAAAAAAAACAGTATTAAATATTTAAAAAAGTAATTTTTTAAATAAATCTCAAAAAAACTATACTATTAGGTACTAGTTGATTGTAAGTATAATACTACTGAATGAAGGAAATAAAAATGTTATTTTAGCAGTGTTATTTCATTCATAAAAATGAATGAAATAACACTGCATTGCAAAATACAAAATTGAACCAACTGTTAAATAAAATTTACTTTAATGTTTTATTTACTTTTGTATATTACTTTTTTAAATTTTTAATATTTAATTTCTTTATTTTATTTTAAATTGCAATTAGATAGCTAAAATTTTATTTATTCAAACAATATTCCAGTAAATAAAAATAACACAATGATTAACTTTGTCTAATGAAAAAACATTTATATTAAACAATTTGTAATCTATTAATTGTTTTTAATTAAAAAAAAAAAAAGAAATCTAAAAAAAAATATGCCAGGCAGAAAGAAATGTTTTGTAGCTACATTGTTCAATGAGGCACCTTTAAAATCTGGAGGTTCTAAAATTCAACAAGTTATATGCAAATTTTGCAGCTTAAAGCTATCAAAAAATGGCACTCGAATGACTGAGCACATTGCAAAATGTGGCGATCAAATAAAAAACAAATATTTGAACGATATGCCTTTTAAACAGAAGAAAGTTCAAACTGAACTAATGATGGAAGAAGATATTCCTGAAAACTTACCTATTCAAGATATGAAAAAAGAGAAAAAAATATGTTTATCATCTGCTATTCCACAAGTTCCAATTGAATCTTTCTTTCCAACACCAAGCTGTTTTGGAAACCAAAGTAGGTCTACAACCCCTAAGTTTGGAGACTGTAAGGCAAATAAAACCAAATCAGATAAGCCTCCCTTAAAACAATTGTATTCTTCAACAAGAGTTCCATTCACAACTCAGAAAAATAAAATTGCATCCGGATACGGATGCAATTTTATTTTTCTGAGTTGTGAATAGTTGTGGATGCAATACGGATTTGACTTTACAATAGAAGACCTTAATGAACAAGAAATCCAGAATACAGAATCTGTTATTAATTAAAAATAAATCTTTTAAATGATGTACTATATATTTACCATATATCATGTTAATTATATATATTATATTACATTAATAATAAAAATAAAAATTAAATAAAAGTAAATAATTTTTTTTTTAATCTAAAAAACAAAAAAAACCATAAAAAACACAAAAAAAACATGTTTTTTTTGCAAAAAAAAACACAATTAAAAAAAAACGGTTTTTTTTGCAACTCTACATACATACATATATACATATGTATGTATGTATGTATATATATTGCAGATGTTCAATTTTTGAAAATTTCAAGTTTTATATATTTTCACGATATTTTAGTACTAAGCTACTTTAATTTAAAATGTCATAACAAAAAAACAATGTTTTAAGGTTCTATGGTCATTTTAAAAAAAGGGCAACTTTGAAACAGCAACTGTTGTCTAATGCATACCATGTAAAAAATACAGTTGTTCAAGTTATTTATAACTAAACCAATGATAAGAAAAATACGTCGGATGAAGTAAACAACATTAAGTTCACAGAAAAACATTTTTTAAAAATGTTTTTCTGTGAACTTAAAGTTGTTTTTCTGTGAGCCTTCTGTTTTAGGATACAAAAAGTACAATAAGGTGTACTTTTTGTATCCTAAAAAAATAGACTCAATAATATTCTGATTTTGATACTGCTAACAATGTATTTTAAATAAAGAATATTTTGGATGTATTGCTCCAGCTCCATCAGAGAAAATGTTTTAATAGAAGAAAAGAGCTACATGTCTTCCAACTCATCACGCTTTTAATTGTGAAATAATTTGCTTGGATTTCCTAAAAAAAAAATGCCTAAACGTTTGGAACCAATATGTATACTATTCCAGGCAACAGCTGTTTTATTTTTTAAACACTAATATACTTTTAAATCAAAAACTATATTTTTATTGCTATGATGAAACTGTTAGATACAGATGGTCTGATAATGTATGTTCTATGCTGCATGATTTTAAATTATCAATTATCTCAAATGTAAAGAATATTAAATTGATTTGCAACTAATGTGCTAGGCAAAATATCATAATGAAAAGTTTTAGATTGATTTAACTATCTATTTCATAAAACTAAAAAACTTGACAGCATTAGTATTTCACTACCAATTAGAACTATGTCACATTCTGTATAAGCATGACACCTCTATAGAATGTGACAAAAACATGGCCATTGCAAATCAAAAGTTCCTGGCAGAAGCACTAGACGATCTCACAAAAAAACCATAACAATTCAATATTATATATAAACATGATATAAGAAAAATTTCTGAAATTTGGAGCATTTCAAAGCCAAACTTCTTAGTTGTTTGTTCATTTAAGACATGTTCACAGAGAAATTGAAATATTAAAAGCTAGTTAAAATTTAATTATATGGAAAATTGGAAATACTTAATTTTATGTGTGTTACACCCCATATGTTTAGATCAAAGATCGAAGTGCCTGACAAACAGAAACAAGCATACATAGCTCTGTTGCTTCTTATTTGTTAAAAATTTAAAGACTTATTGAAGCTAAACATTTTCTAAGCGAAAAACTTTTAAAAACAAAATAAGACATTATTTGATATTATTTCATCTTATTTTTGAAAAATTTATTTTATTTTTCTTTGAATTGAATTTTCTTTGATTTATTCAGAACGAAAGTAAATGACTCTAACTAATATGACAATAATCAGACAACATTCTTGACAGTGAGACATTGACCTGTCTAGATAAATGTTATTTTACTTTATGGACATACAATCCAATTTCAAGACAACACAGACAAATACTGAATAATATGCAACCCTAAGTATATAAAGATTGAGGATAATAGAATGATAATAAATTGTACTAATAATAATTATAAAAATATTACCAAAACAAATATCAGGAACCCAGAAAAAATTCTCTAGGAGAGCAGTAGAGGAGAAACCTCAGGACCAGCTAAATGACAGGAGAAGCCTCAGGACCAGCTGAATCTAAAACACTACAAAGAAGAAATCTTATTCAACCAAATATGAATTTTCAAAAAAAAAAAAATGTTTTATAGATTGGACATAAATTATACTAGTTGATGGTATTAAATCTGAGAAAATGATTAACAACTGACAAAAATAAGTATAGTACATTTCTTGAAAAATGAGATACTAGACATCTTCAAACATTAGATGTTATGTATGTATATTCTATAATACACTTGAATGAGCATAGCAAAACAATGACTATACTTAAGATTCATTTGATTATCAAACCACATAAATTTATCAAAAAAAAATTATAAAATTCCAATAATTAAATTAAATTAAATATAATTTAAAAAACATAGTGTGTGATAATCACACGTTATCACACACTATGAAACTCCTAATTCACATGTATGATATGTATTAATGCAACTAGTTCATTTTGTCATGACAACCTTCCCTTATTTAGCTTCTCCCTCTAGCAGGTATCCTGGATAAAAAGCTTTTATTTGAAAGGAAAAGCAGAAATCAATTATTATTACACATATTGTATATAAACTAGATACCTAAAACTGATCCAGCTCACCAGAGATCTAATGGTATTCTCTGGTTAAGCTTTCCAGGAGCTTTGTCATCATACCAAAACATGGCATAAGTATTACATAAAAAAGGTTGATGGATCACATTTGCAAATTTTCTAAAGATAACAAAAGTGAAATTATTGATAAGAATATACAAGAATGACAGTGAAAAAGGGTTAAAGCTAGAACAGGTATCAATTTGAGAAACTAATCTTGAGTATACCAGTTATATAAATCTTAACCACTTGTCTTTAGATTGTTCGCTAAAAAGTTTATGAATTAAAAAATCCAATATGTTTTCTTTTTAATAAA